TATAAAAGTGGTGTTAATATGTGGATAATATCCTGCTGAACAACACCTGTAAGTATCATAAACGGTTGTTGGCCACAGATCTTATTTTCCGCAATACTTTGAAAATCCAATGGAAAAATCCCATAGGTTTTTGTGTATGCAGCCCTTGCAATGCTAACTTTACAATGCTAACTTTACAATGCTAACTTTACACTACAAACATCTTTCATTAATGCACCACTTTATTGTATTTATATATATTGATCATATTCATAATTTAATTATATATCTAGTACCATTTTACCTAATTCTATTGTTGACATTTTAATTAATACTGTTACTTAAAGGTAGGGTAGGTAAGTTTGAGAAACCGGCTCGAGATACACTTTTTGTTATATTGCATGGAATGCTCTTAACATCCCGATAGCAATGAATATCTTAAGTGCTTTGACAAAAAATCCATAAAAAAATGTCATCTGTGGAAGCAGTAATACTGTAAAAAGCCCGGCTAAAATAACTGGATGGCCTACCTGCCTGTCAGCCTTCCATCTGTGCACAAACTTATCTCGTGCCCTCATTGGTCATGTGCGCGTTCGTGTGTGTTGGAGGAGGGGCTCTATAAGGAAGTGGCAGATTTTCTCCGGTTGTGTATTTTCAAATTCTAGCGATCTCGAGCCGGTTTCTCAAACTTAGCTACCCCACCTTTACATTTTGTATTTCTTATTCTTATTATCCCTTTGTAATAATAATAATAATACAGGGGATTTGTAAAGCACTTTTCCTAATGCTCAAAGACGCTTTACATAAAATCAGAACAGAAACAAAACAAAATATTATATTATTATATGATATATATATTTTATATGAAAACAAATATTGTACACAATGCTGTCTGAGAATATGATGCAGTGTGTGTCATTGGAGGAATGCAGGCCTTATGTTGAACCTAGGGCAGTCTGACTTGTTTTCCGCAGCATCACAAACCTTGAGCTGGGGGGTTGCAGCAGGGAGACCGGTGCCCTCAACTCAACATTGGTTTCAGTTCAATTCAGGAAACAAACAAACTCAGACAGAAATGTTATGTCATTTTTCATCAAGAAATCAGCAACACGGCAACCATCTTGGTTTCATTCCTCCTCATCTTTCGTGGTCTGCCTTTAGGCTTCAGTTTTAAATTGTTCACACGGATCTAAAACATCATGGTAGAAAACATACAATAATAGAGTCCCAATGCAGTGGAGGAAGAAGCCGAGGACTTCCCAACACAGTTAAATCAAGTCTAATCAGAAACATCTTCATAAGCCTTTTGACAGACTCACTTAATAAGACGCTGGGCAACTGATCCATACGACCGTGACAACTACAGTATGTGACGGTGACAATTTGCGTTAAGCTGATGCTCCGTGTGTGTGTGTGTGTGTGTGTGTGTGTGTGTGTGTGTGTGTGTGTGTGTGTGTGCTGTTTGAGACATGCATGGCCGGTGCTGATGACCTGGATGACTCAACTTCCTGATCTGCCCATCTGCCACATTATGTTAATATACCACTCTTGTGTTGTGCCATAAAACCATAAAAACCTGAATCATACTTTAGTTTCTAGTTTATATTAGAATATTATAAGATAGCTAATGAAACATGTTGTCAGTTAACATTATGCCGACATGTTTGTTAAAAAAAGAAAAACAACATAACTAAGGTGGTATAATATTCCTCCCATAATAATTGCTGTTGAAAGTCAGCAGAATTTCAATAGAACTAAAGGGAGAGAAGGCTGTCAATGTAGAGCATACTCAGACATATACATTAATGTGTCAAAAAGAATGCAATTTTATGATTATATTAACTTATGAAATGTAACATTCTGGTAGAAGCTTTTCTGTATTTTATTTATTCAATTGTACTGTTAACTATTCAATTATACAATACGTTTTGACGTTTTTGAAGCTGCAAAAGAAATATGACTCTGATGCTGGTAGCTCGGCCCTGTACAGAAAGAGAACAATAACTCACGCTGTGTAGCACAGTACATCTTTATTTCTAGTGCAGACAACACACAGTGCTCATATTGTTACTCCCTTTGTCTTACAAGGTGTCACGTTGTTTTCTTTACACTGTTGAGAAAATCCACAATAGAAGTGAGGAATAAAAAATGGCACATTAAGATTCTGTGTCTGGACAGCATCCTTCAGTGTCAGGTACTCCTGCCTCGGGCCTGGAAGATGCAAAAGCTGTCGCAACACCGGGACACAACGACACGTCACATGTACACACTCATCAATGTCAGGCGGAGGTTAAGTGTCGTTTGATGATCACAGCTAAGCCTACATCAAACTGGGATATGCTGACACATTAGTGAACATCTGTGTTTAACCTACAACAGACTGACATGACTCATCTCTCTAAATCAACACAAGCTCCAGGATGAAGGCCTGATTATGGCCTTAAAGCAGAATAAAATGCAAAAATTAGACAAATTCAACAGCCTGCACTTTCACTCCAAATGTGCAGCTAAATACCATGAACCAGAGAGGTGTTTCATGAAGACTTAGAAAATGATGGCTTTCTTTGAAAAGCCTGGTTTCAGTGATCCTAGCTCACTGAAATCAGGATTAACCTTGACAAATAATAAACCTGTCTCTCACCGGCGTTGCATTTGTGTCTCGTTTCCGAAGGCATGACAAGACATCTTGAGCACAGGAAAACATCTTTAAAAGAGAAATTATATTTGCAGAAACAACATTATCACAGATATACATTTCACTGAGTATACAAAGATACATGTGTATCTCTGATAATAATTACTCTAAAAAATGAATTAATGAGCTCTGTTTAAAAAAAATGAATTTGTTGAAGGTCATAATATGGGGTTAAAAACTATAGAAAAAGTTAATAATTAAGAATATATTGTCATTATTAGTAATGACCTCACACTAACAGGATCAGGATTTAGTCTTTTTTTAATGAACATAACTTTATATCTGAAAACCAATAAGAAGAATATCGTAACTCATGTCTGTGCCTTTAAGTGTGGAGCTGAAGCCGGTGGGTGATTAGCTTAGCTTAGCAAAAAGCAGGAGAGCAGGCGCTAACAGTTAGCCTTGTTCTGTCCAAAGTCCAAAAACACACCTTCCAGCACCTCTAAGGCTCAATACTTAACACACTTTATCTGGTTAGTCTCATTTGTATGTGTTTTAAGGGTAAGTCACATGCTTCAAATGTATGCTAGGCTAAGCTAATGCTACCTAGCCCCATAAAGCTACACACAGCCATCATCTCACTGATTTTTCAGGCTGAGGTGGGCCTGAAAATTAGCCTTACCTGAACTAGGCTAGTCTGGAAGGCTAGATTTCCAAAGTAACTTAGGTCAGTCACTGTGAGAACAGAAAGTGAGCCTAGCTACGCTGTTAATGACGGGTAAAGCGCTAAAACTTCTCTGGAGGAAGCATGGAAGTTTCTGGAACAACTTATGGCTGCTGATGATCTTCTAAAACCTGAGTTCAAGTTTGTATGATGCTACAAACTGTATGACCTCTCAACACTCATTGAGAATGAGTAGTGTGTATTTTCTCATCACAGTGAAAGCTGGCACATCATTTTGGCACTATAAAAAGTTTGTGCTTTGTAGCACATTGCAGAATTTTTGGAATTATTATCTCACCGGGTGAATTACTATTGTACATACTAGTGCAACATTTGTCAGATAAGAGTCTAGTTGACTCTGTTTGGCAGCATACGTAAAGTGTCTCCATAGAAATCTTCATAGGCTTCATATATTAATCTTTATCATTATTAATTAATTTAAAATTCTTCAAGGGTGATTCCATAATAATAAATACATATAGCACAAAAACACACCACAGTTGTATGTACCTGTTCATGCACCGTTGCACACATAAAAAACACACACATGCTCACACTGACTCAAAAGTGTTTTCACATGTGTAACCACTCACATTTAAAATATCTTCAAAACGATCAATCCAAGTATTTAAAGGTGCAATCAGTGACATTTGACTGAATGTTTGCATAACACTGTATATTAGCGGGGGGTTGCAGATGTTTATGTTCATTATAGTTAATCCTCAATGGCTGATGAAACTATTCCAAATGCGTCGGCATAGTAAGGTAGTTTCTCCAAAACCGCAGTGAACACAGTAGCTTTCCGTTCTGGTTAATGAGCTTGTGAGTGTTAAGTATGTCTAAAGAATATTACTGTATTTTTTTAATCATAATAGAAAATTACAAATAAAATGTTGAAGTAATACCTATGACTGGAAGACACTGAGGGGTAGATTCACAAAAGGTTTGCACAGATTTTGCGACTGCTAAACCTGCATAAATAACATAGATTACTATGCTCCTGTGCTGTTTTCAAAAGAAATTGCCCCCATCCATGCAAAGGATATGCAAAATATTATTTATCTCTGTCACGTTTAAATTCCTTGCCTGAAGTTACAAGGAAAGCCTTGTCAGTTGGGACAAGAAGATAGAAGCCTGGGAGTACTTTTTTCTTTTTTTTCTGCCATTGTTTTGCCTACCGTGTTCTAGGAGAAATACTTTGTCACATGGATAAGTGCGATCAGATGCAAGAAAGTGAGCAAATTGCACAGAGCTGCATGGGTATTTCTTTTGTGAATCTGACCTGGAGACAGCAATTGAAAATGATGTGCAATTCATGATGCTATCAGCAGCCTCAATGAATTCTAGGTGAATGTGTCCCTGTGTTAACAAACAAGCCGAGAGTTTACATCCAGCTATGATGTATTTTATCTCAACCCGTACTTAGTCCTTTTAAGAGTTTAGCCAATATTTTGCTGCATTGTGGATGTATTATTTTTTTTGACAACCTTTTATCGCTCCTTACTTGTCACTTATTTTAAATCTCAATATAGTTGAACCAACAGCACTTGTTTGTTAATGACTGCCGGTCAACATAGCATTTATGAGCAAGATCAACTTTCATATTCGTTAGGTTTAAGAGGTCAACGCAACCTTTGGGTCTACTCTGCTTGGGTCTGACTGTCCTCGAGTTGGTTCTGGATCAAGTATCTTAGTTTAGACAATTCATTTTTGAATCCAATTTGCATTTGTGGATGTATGAGGAATGTGGATCAACTGGCACAAACATTAAAAACGCCAACTAAATGTGTATGGGGTTCAAACTCGGGGCCTTCTTGCTGTGAACTTGCTAACTACAGAGCCACTGGGTCCCAAAGCCATACAGTACTGATTGCAACTTTAAATGGAGCAGAATAATAATTCAACATTTTTCAAACCTTTCTTGTGTTTATCTTATCCCTTGTAAAATTAAAGATAACTTTGTCATAAAGGTTGGTCAAATATCAGGATACGAGGCCTCACTGAGAAAAGGGGTCAGCTGAAGGCATTGAGAACCAAACACTTAAGGAGTAATTCAATTACAGGGCAGCTGGAAGAAGGTCTTGCAAGTGAGTACAGATACAAGTATAAGACGACTATACAGTGGTTTCATTCTTCCAAGGGCCAGTCCGTATGGTGCCTGGTCCGTCCGACCCAAACAGTCCTTCTTCCTGCAGGCTCCTGTTCCTGCCGATGGTTCCTCGCCGGCCCATAGTGCCGTGCCGAGGCAGAGTGTTTCTTGGGAAACCCTGTTCCTCTACGCAGAGATTATCCTTTTCTTTATCTCTTGTCTTTGACACACTGCTGTATGTGTCAGGGTCTTGCTGATATTGTAAGGTGAAGGGATCAGGCTTCTCACAGCAGCTTGTAGTAGAAGAGTGATCCGCTGAGCTGTACATGTGCCACTGGCAGGTGTGCACGCTGTGAGAAGGCATGAGGAGGCTGTGACAGGAAGTAATGCTGTCATGCATGTTGTGTGCATGGCTGTGACAGGAAGCTATTGAGTCTTGTACGCTGTGGCAGGAGTTTTGGCGTAACAAGCTTTGGCAGGAAGCCAGCTGCTTATCTAAGATAGGGCTGGGGCAGGGCAGCTGCAGGTCTGGGTGGGGGCTTTGGCAAACCAATGGCGATCCAGCGAGGTGGTGTGGTGCGTGAGGGCTGTCCAGGTGGGGGCTGTGCACACTCCCATCCATGCTGGTGGAAGTCAGGTGGGAGCGGTAGTCCTGAAGGCATGGACGTGGACGGTTGAAGGAGCGGGACTTTGTCCTGTCGTTAAGGCAGCTCTGAAGAGGCAGGGTGGGGCGGGGGAGCTCCTCAGAGAGCGTCTGTGGACGAGGGGAGGGTAACTGCTCAGGGAGAGGTGAGAGGGGGGCATTAACAGGACTCATGACAGCCACGCAGCACGGACCCGTGTGATTGGTTGGGGGACTATGTGAAGGTGGTGTGTGGTAGGAACTGGGCACAATATAAGGAGAGAGTAGAGGCTGCTTGCCGGAGCATGGGGAGCTCAGGTGGCAGTGAGGCTGATGGAGCTCCTGCCTCTGGTTCTGTCTGTCCCCATTCCTGTCCTCAGACTTGGACTTAGACGGGCAACATGCCCACCAGCGGTGCCACACATCATCACGTTTAGCACAGTGCTGAATTAGAAGGAAGAGTCCCAGAGTGACACAAAAAGCCCCATACAGGCAGCTGAATATCATATCCAGAAAATGTCCAAGTGATACTGCTAACGCTCCTAAAGCCCAGGTGGACAGGAACAGGAAGAGGGTGAAGGCTGTGGCCCGCAGCTGAGATTTAAACGAGTGCTCATTGACCAACACCGACACGCCTGTTGCAAATGGTGGACAATCCCCCGCAGAGACCCCCCCAGTGTCGGTGTGGCAGTGGTGGTTTGACTCGCTGGAGGATAGCTGCTGCTGCTCCTCACTCAGGAGGCGCAGCTCATACTTCTTCTCTGGGTGCCGTTTGAGCTGGATGTATGAGCACAGTAAGTACACACACACCACTAAGACCAGGAAACTCACAGGGGCATAGAAACCCCCCAAGCTTGGTTCCCATGCCATCCAGCAACTGAAAAGACACAGAGACATAAACATTTATCTTATTCTCTAAAGATTGAATGAAAACTGGATTGTTCAGAAATACTGAGCACTTACTACAAAGCGTCATCCCGGCTACCATAGTTGTCCATACCAAATGCTGCAGTAACTCCAACAATTATGAGAGGGATTCCAACACTTACAAGATAAAATCTGCAAAGAAATTATACGTTTAATCCAACACATATGTATTTGTATTTCCATTGATATGTATGGACAGCACCTAGTAGCCAAGTATTAATGTGAACTTCTGCACGTCTGCATGACACTCAAGAGTTTCATGAGGGCTGGTTGGCTTAACACACTGAATTGTCTTATAGAAATCTGCAAAACATTTTGGATCCAATGACCTGTGCATCACTGCTATAATCCTTGCAACAGAGTTTAACATCTTAAAGCTGCCTCACATCACACTATCATAAGGGTTTGTAAGGAAGGATGTTGTGCTCATAAACCAGTGCGTACTAGCTTACAGCTTACCTCAGGATAGTTGGTTTGGTGCGAGTCTGGGCCGACCCGGTCCTTTTGTGGGCCCGGAGCGGGTCTTTGGACACATCTTTACAGATGTTCCTAGCAGTAAATGTCAGCCACAGCATGGTAGACAATGATGCATAGTGGAGTACAATGCCAACCTAAGACAGATCAAATTGACAAAGAATATTAAAAGCAATATGAGATAATTCTCCAAAATAACACCCATACATTTTAACAAAGCACCAGTGTGCCTCAGTGCAACCCCACAGAGCTAAGCATGGCTGTAGACTCCTGTTTGAAAGTGATTAATACAAATAATAATACAAACTTCATCATATTATCCTATCATTCTAATCCAATTGATAAAAGTATTGTGCTGCCTAGGGAATACATTAATAAAGGGTGACACGCAACTTAAACTGCGATGCCAAACACATAGCATTTCAGTGCTCCTGTGCTATTTGCACATATATACATTAAGGAATATGCATACATATTGCACCTAACTGTCCCCTTTCTCTGCAAATGCAAAGTCACAAAAATCCATTTAACAAAGATCAGGGCTGATAGCCGCCCACAGTCACAGTGAAAATATTAACGTCTTCAGAGAGTTGGTGGGAACTAAAGCACCATAAGAGGCTTAAAGAGGCGTTTATTTTGTGATACAGTGACAAGCTGTTCATGAAACTGTCATGAAAAAGAAATGAAAATACCTTACATGGTATTTTTTTAAAGTACAACAAAGTCAATTTAGTTTTACAAAAGATTAAAAAATGATTCCTTCCTTCTCCCCGCTCTTCCCAGTCCCGGCCCGGGTGAACATTTTTACTTCTCCTCTCTCTGAATTGCCTCCGGGATGTTTGGATGGAAGGGACACTTTGGCAACCCCCTCCTGACAAGACTCTGGCTGACTTCCCCCCTCACAACGACTCATCGGCCTCAAGCGTGTTTAGGCTTTGCTACATGGATAATTGCAATCAAACATTAAAAAAAAGGGGAATTCTAGACTTTATGGGCATATTTGCAGTGTAGATGGCAGATAGGAGTTGCAAATGATGCGCAATTCATGGAGATATCAGTGGATGCAACCCATTCTGTGTGAATTTGCACCCCTCAGTGTTAAATAACATAAAAGTCAGATGTGGGCTAATACCCTTTATAATCACTTTTCTGTATATTTGAGCCTGAACACATTTTAGACATGAGCAGCCTGAAAGGAACCCAGAAAATATTATAAAGCAAGCCTCAAAAACTCTTGCTCATGATGATTTAACTTCACACTCCCATGGACACTGACGCCTCCCTCATAGACAAGGCAGAATTTCAGAAAATGTGCTTATTTAAAGTGGACCTATCATGCTATATTTGACAAATATATTGTAGGGCCATACCTATATAAAACATGTCTGTGAAGTTTTTTTTTCAAAATCCCAAACAGATCACCCATTGTAGCCATGCCTCATACTGCTCAAACCCCTCTTTTGAAGCCCTGTTAGAGAAACGCAGATTTTGGGTCCTTAGCTTGAAAAAAATAAATAACAGGAGGCGGAGCTAATGCCTGATCAGAATTCTACCGGAGATAAAGTTAAATTCGGTTGTGATATTTCGCCATCCTGTTTAAACCACGTCAAGGATTATTTCTGAAACAGTATGGAGCTCAAATGCTTTTTCTCTTGCAGGTTTATCACAAGGTGAGTTCTTTTTTTATTTCCTGCTTTTTAAACACGTGCTCTCCAGTACAGGTTAGCTCTGAGTGTTAGCGAGGCTTGCTAATCTAAACAAAGACGTCCAAAACACGTCAGGCATTGTTTCTGATAGCAACTTTCTGTGGGTCCGCCGCCGATTTGACGTCAGATCGGATGGAATCTGTATCCGCTCGTTGTACACCCGTTTTTAAAAGATTTGGGTACGGAGGAAAAGAGAGAGGGTTTTATTTTCTGACGCTGCGTGAGTTCCCCGACGCACCGGGGACACATATGTATGTATAAAAGACATCACAAAGTGCATTTTGCATGATAGGTCCCCTTTAAAGTGCTGAAGGCATTTTGTGTTTATTCATGCTATACAACATTTCTAGGGGTATAAGGGGTGCTGAATCCAAATCTGATGTATATGAAGCTCAAACATTTCCCAGAATGCCTCAAAATTGAGAAATCCAACATGGCCGCCACCGTCAGGCTGAAATCTATTTTAGTACATTACTTTTTGACTAAACAAGGTACAAACTTGAATTAAATGTGTTTTTATATGTTTTCACACATGGGGGATTTAACATACTGTACTGATTTTAGATCAAATCATACATGTATAGCGAAAAAGGTGGTCATTAGTGATAAATAAGTTGTCAGACTCAACCAGGGCTTGCTTAGAAAGTGTATTAATACAATTTTTATTTGGCCACCAAACCACAACGTAAACATGACACGATTAGGCCTACAGTGGAGCAACAGTACCGTCAACAAAGCCCTATACAGTATATGCTTTTATTTGCTCCAATACAGTAAGAACATATGGGTGGCATTTGAATGTTCAAGTCAACAACAATACAAATCATACTGAAATGGTAAAAACCTCATTCAAGTATCTCATAAAACACCACCATATATCAATGAATACAAAAATAATAATGTACAAATATATTAAAACAACAAATAAACCCAAATTATAGCTTTCAGGCCATCCAGTGTTAAGGCAATGAAGGAGTGGGCCTGTTCACACCGCCTTTTTTACATCAAACCCTACAGGAAATTGCTAAAAGGCAGGCACTTTTAAAACGCAGCGTCATCTTCAGTGTTCCGGCAGGTGTTGTCATGTTTCCTGCAGTTGCATGCCTCTATACATTCCATGTGACTCTTTCTGAATAGAATAGACATATTATGACCAGTACAAGTAAAGGTACATTGGAATACACGTTACAGTTAGTTATCCTTACACTTATTGTGTTCCTTTGCTACTTTTTTTCTCAGTTATAGGTTCACAATTATCCGGTTATGGTTTCAACAATCAGTTAACAACAAACAGTCAGCAGTATGCAGTCTGGCAGGCTGATATTCTCAACCAGTCTATCATATTTTTACAATCTTGTACACATTGATCACCATCAGCTAATCCTCTCTATACACATACCTGCAGCGGCAGCGTTGGCTGAGGCATCCCTTGGTACACCCACATGAAGTGAACTCCCTGCAGGCTTTAGGCATAGGTGGCAAAGACAGTAGCCTTGGCACTAACTGACCTTCCTTGTGCATCCATCCCATTTCATCCACTGGAGGAAGATCAGGATGTGGTAGGTGTGCTTGGTTCCAGATTGTCGATTGACAGAAACATTTCTCTGTTGATGTCACAATACCTTCTGTGAGAGGGCCCTTCCCAAGGCCAGTAAAATCGGTGTAATGTTGCTCAAACACCTGCCAGGCTGTTTTCTTTCTGTGACCACTGAACTGAGACACACTATCACAGCCAGTGATGGCATGGAAGGCAAGGAGTGTGTCCACTTGATCATCAGATAGTAACTTGCAAATGTCATGTACTGGAAAATACTTTTTCGGATCTGCAATGCCACATGGACCATGTTCAGGAACAGATTTTGATCTGCATGTTTGAATGTAGGAATGACTCTATGAATATTGGCGCTGTCGTCTTTCACCATTGCTGATACTGGAATATGCCAAGAACTTGGTCTTGCAAGTCATGGGATATCTTCCATGGATAGAACCAAGACAGTGCGAGGTTCATTTTGAGGCTGATCATGCAGTACAACAAAGTCGTATATGCCCTCAAGACGATCAGCTATTTGTTCCTTGAAGGTGTTCCTTCGGCTTAGAAATCTAGATGGTATATCTAGTTGAGCCTCATTAGCTAGTGTACAGTACCGGTCCCACACATGTACAAGATCCAGAATATCCGCTTGCTTTGCTGATTGTTCAAGTTCTTGGCAGATCCACTCTAACGGCATGTCTGTGCTCGGAAGTGACATCTCTTCCATACGTTTGGACCTACGTTCGAACTTGGTCTTGCAAGTCATGTGATATCTTCCATCTGCAGCTATTAGATCATTTACACAGGCTAGTCGCTAGTCAAACTTTGCTGCTTGTAGTATTTTGCTGCTGACTTTCGTTACTTGGATGAGATGTAGTTTTTCTTTCCGATCTTGTTGGCAAAAGATACACTGCTTCCAATCTATTGGAGGTATTTTGCTCCGTAGACTAACATTTTGCGGAGTTGTTGTGGATGCAGACGAACTTTGTTTGGTATTTTGTTTTGATTCTGCCTTCAATTTCCTTTCGATTTCACGTTTATTCATGTATTTTGCTCGGCAGTCCTTATGCCATAAGAATTGTTGAGGCGAGTCTCCTTGAAGTATCTCAGTAAGTCGATTGGTTGCATCTCGGAAATTGTCATGATGTAATTTCAACCTGAGTTGTCTTATAGTGTCAGCTGATTGGAGGCCATCCTGACTAACTGTCATGAGCTTTTGCTTATAGTCGTCCTGGCATATGATGCATAACTGTGGCTCCATTAAGCTGTCTTGGGTATGGTCTATTGCTTCAGCCATGGTTTCGGTCGCCAATTGACTAATTCAGACCTACAAGAAAGTGCCAGAATTAGTGGCATTATGAAATAAAAGTGCCATTATGTTAAGTCACATTATAAAATAAATGGGTTTTTCGGAAAGTAGCATTATGAAATAAATGTGCAATTCGGGAAAGTAGCATTATGAAATAATATTTCATAATAATTGTAGAGTGTTTATTTAATTGATTCCGGCACCTTTGGTATTCCATAAACTCTAAGACATCGATATGTATTAATTTAGCTTGCTCATTGAGCCAGAAACTAGCTGGCTAACGTTAGCTAATTAGGCTTCTTTTAGTGATCAAAAACGTTAAAATATATAGAATGCAATAATTTGAAGTACATAAAACATGTCACATCATCACAATATACACTGGGCATGACTTTACCTGTTAGCTGCTTCATGTTTCCGATCAGCCGTTTCTGAGAAGTGTGATAAAGGCTAACGTTACGCTTCTTTCAAAGATCCAAATATGCTAAAATATATAAGCTGCAATTATTTACAAATCACACATTACAATTATGTAAACAACATAAAACATGTCACATTATCACATTAAACACATTACTTTACCTCTTATCTGTCATGTTGCAGATCAGTCATTCTGAAGTTTGAAAATGCGAATGGCGAAGAGTGTGCTTGTGCGGGGGTTGGAGGGTTTTGTGGGTGGGTGGGGGGGGCAATAGTGGGGAAGGCAAAGGTTCCATCACAGCACATTTGAAACATTTAACCTCAAAACAATATACAAAGTAAGTAAAAGTAGCCTGATAATAATAATAGCTGAGTAATTATTCATAGTTAAAAACTACTATTTTTGCAATATATATGAGATCTAAGCAGTTTATTCACATTACATGTCAAATCTGAATATGGCATCAGATTGCCCATGTAGGAGAACTTACAAAAGCACATTTAATTCAAGTTTGTATCTTGTTTAGTCAAAAATATATACTTAAAGGAGAGGTGTCATGGCCATTTCCACTGATCATAATTCCATTGTTGAGGTATACTAAAATAGATTTATACTGTGCAATTTTCCAAACTCACATTGGTTTCGCATACAGCATGTCTGTAAAGTATGTGTATTCAGCAGTATTCACTCTCTCCACTAAACGGCTCGTTGGAGCTCTTGCCCCCCCCTCCCTGTGAGCCTAGTGTGCTCCGATTGGTCAGCTCGGCCACTCTGTTCTGATTAGTCAACCACCAGAGAGGCTCCGCCCATGTCTAACAGTGCTTTTTTCGGCTCGCTCTCAGCGAAACATCAGTCTTATAATGGCCTCGGTACAGCCGTATATTTTATACGCTAACTAACCGAACTGTACCTACAACTGTTGTTATAGAAGAGTAAGTTGTTTTTACCTGTAATAAACTACTACTGTTTGATGATAAATCAAATCATGGTTTGCTATATATGAATGATATGTTATAGGAGCAAATAATTCAGGGAAGAAAGGATAGGCCTACTAAGTATTTCCATCAAACTTTATTTTTAGAAATGTACAAAATGAACATGCGTAAATATACATATATACACTGTATATCAGGGGTCGGCAACCCCTGGCATGCGTGCCACCATTGGCACGCGGCACCGTAACCAGTGGCACACTAGGAATAAGTGGAATAAGTGTGCAAAATATTTAAATTTTATTTTCGGATCCTGAACGAGACCGCCGCCAGAGCGCGTCTCCCCGTTACCTGCAGAAGGAAGCCATGCACGCAACGCAGCCCCGCTCTCTTTAACTCCAGGCGACTTTCTGCCGCTTTCCTCCATAATGCAGTGCTGATATTTTCTCCACAGAGGAAAGCACTTCACAAATTGCAGTAGGCCTACCCATAAGGAGCTGTAAAAATGCCGCAGTTTTTGCGTGGCGATCGATATCGGCCGATACTCACTCTCTGCCGATCGATCGGTGCTCTCTCTTTCTCTGTGTGCGGCAAATCAAGTTCGCCAAAATGGCTTCACCAGTCTGGCAGTATTTTAAGGTGACCGAAAATGACAATAAAATAGCGGTGCAACGTGTGTGAAGCAGAAATCCTGCAGCTCCACCCGCTGTGACGGACCGGTGAGCGGAGCAAAACACACAAGAGTTAGACCTAACACACTTAGCTATTTGATCTACCTCTGGAACTAGTTATAAATATATGTATTCTTCACTGTCGGGTCACTCATTACTGGATCAGTGAGCTGCATGAGATACTGACAGGCTGTCAGGAGAGAGAGAGAGGGGGAGAGAGGAAAAGAGAGCGGTTCAGCTCATTTCTCCCGTGTTATTATCCAAAGTTAATGTAAACTTGAATAATGTAGGCTACTTCATTTGAATGTAACAATTATGTTGGTTGAATGAGCCCCATTAACTGAGTTTTAAACATTTCTTTAATTGGAAAATCCCCATAGGAGCATCCCTAATGTAAGTTGCGCTGACAGGTCCACACACTGCTTCCCCGCAGCAAGGCTCCCCCGCCCTCCTGTTGACAGTTCACGAGCGTCGAGCTCTTCACCCCCCCCCGTTGATAATTCACGATCGTCGGCACGCTGATAACATTTTTTTCAATGGCACTTCATATCAAAAAGGTTGCCGACCCCTGCTGTATATCATCCATTCCTCCCCTTATAGGCGTTTTCGGCATCTTGCCTATCGCAGCTTTGTAAGCGGCTGCCGGGGCTTTTTAGGACGAGGCATCAGAGTGGGTCATCCCGTGTGTGTGTGTTGTCCGCCAGATACGCCAGGAGTTTCCTGATCTGGCTGGACGAAATCAAATGCAAATCACAAAATATTAGAGAAACTTAGTTGTTTTAGATTCGTTAGTAGTAGTTGTGGTAGGAGTGTGTATCTATCTAATCTATCTATCTAATCAACACAGTTAGCTTGCCAGCTAATATGCTAACCTACGTTTGCTAGTTGTTCAGTGTAATATGCCAATCTACTATGAACAACAGCTAGTCTAGGCCAGTGCCATATAGATAGATCTCTCTATATGGCGCTGGTCTAGGCTAGCAAGAACATGTTTACAATTGCAATCTTATACGGGTAGTCTGCTACGTTCGGTCATTCATTGTAGCTGGCATGAAAACAATGTTTTCCCTAGCATGTCTAGCTCTAGGTAGCCTTGTTGTTTAGCTATGTAGCATACACGCTATGAACGGTGAGCTTGGTAGCTTGGTTGCATGCACGCCAGGAACGGCAACTATAATGTACTGACCGTACGGTAAATCACCCGGAGTATACTGTCTATGAGTATTTCGTGTGTGAATGCAGACATCCTCCTGCTATGAGATACATGTATGTAAGGCCATCTGCTGATATTAGAGTTGATATATGGAAACGCTAGCAACTTAGTTAGCACAGTTAGCACTGTGTCAATGGCTTAGCAGTCCGACACACGTTTACACATTTAAACAGTCGTGGTAGATACCTTGTTTGATAAATACACAAATAACAATGCAAACTTACAGGTTGTGTACCCGAATCTTCCCCTGCTCCAAACGGTCCAAACAAACTAGGAATAGCATCGTCCTTCAGTTTCAAATGCTGTGCATATCCGGCCTCAAACTGGGCAATGTTTTGGAAGCTTTCGTCTGTGAAATGCCGCGCACACAGTAACGTTCTTCGAACCTCTGAAGGAACAGTGTTAAACAGAAATTTCAACCACTGACTTCGTCGTGGTTCTTCCATCGGTAGGACAAACAGCTCAGATTTCTCCTCACATTTCAGGAAACAAGTCCTTGGCATTGGCATGACTGGATCGACTGTGAACTGAACCAGAGCTTCCAACAGTAAATGTTAGGCTGGCAGAGGGTGCGGCCAGCGCCGCTGGGTGTGGCCATAGCTCTTCCGGATTGGTCCATTTTGTTCCGGGTACCGCATGACATCATGCCGTACCCGGAAGAATCAAATGGACAGTGACGTATCTCCAACGAGGCGTTTTGGGGAGGTATTTTCTGTGTTAGAGTTTTACACAGGGTGTACTTTGAGGGTTTTGACTCTGCACACCGTTTACATGCACAAAAACCTTCATAACACACAAGGGGACGGGTGATAACCGGAAAAGCATGACACCTCTCCTTTAAAATAGATTTCAGGCTGGCGGTGGCGGCCATGTTGGATTTCACATTTTTGAGCTTCATATACAGCAGATTGGATTCTGATTTTGTGAAAATTGACCCTGTCTATCAGTGACGCCTGTAGCCCCACAGAGAGCTCAAACTGCAGCCACTGTGCTGGAAAATAACACTATGCTGAGAAAGTAGAGAAACAACAACTTACGATTTGACACACAAAAGGTAAGTTGATCTGATTGATGCCCCCGGCAAAAACTCCAAATGTCAGCCCAGTGTGAAAGACGAAGTTGAGGAGTGTGTGCCAGCCATTCCTGCTGATGCGGATCACGCTGCAAACACAGAGCTCACAGTTAAAAGGATGGACTGCATGGGATGCAGTAATAAAACCAGTAATGTTGTTAACAAGAAAGCATCATTTAGCTGTGATTAAAATATAACCAATAGAATACAGCTAAAAAAGAGCAAACTTATTACTAATATTCTGAATCACAAAAACAAAACGTATGTGAATGTACGGATAGGTTTGGGTTGGAGCAAGCCACCAGGAAGTGCACCGGACTCTGAGGAAAATATTCGATGTGGCCAAACGGCGGTACTACACTTCCGTATCAGTCGCTGGGCCCAGAAAGACTTTTCCCTATTGACTAACATTGGGAAAGAGACGTCTGTAAATCGTTGGATATTTTTTTTTTACCAAATGAACTACCCAGTATGAACATTTGTATAGCCCTTATTAAAAACATTCGGCCCTCAAGTTGTAAAATGTGCTAATAACGTTATTCTGAGAGTTATTTTCCTCTGCATTATGAACGCGGATCTAACCCACGGGACCGCGCCGCCCGGCACGTTCATGTGACGTGTTCAGTACTACATGAGTTTTACCTTTACCCATGGATGCAAAATAAGAACGGATTATATGATTATATGAATACTTTCGTGACGTTTCGCTCTCTCAAAAGTTGGGCCATTTTGTCTTCATGCGCCAATGAGCAACTCTCATAGGAATGAACAAGGCCCCGCCTCCCACGCTGTATCCAGTTCTTATTATACATCCATGGGTTAGAGTTATATGAAGGGCTAATGTCAGACATTTAAATAAAAATGTCATATAAAATCAAACTTATTTAGGAAACAAAATATCAAAATAAAAATCTAGAAAAACCTTAACACTAAGAACATTTAAAATGTTCATCTGTAAACAGCCTATTATCAACCTGAACTTAAATATGAAGGATATGCTCTTCTCAGATCAACCCAAATGCATCGCCTCAATGCCATATGTACTGAAGATTAATGGCTGGCTGTAATTGTTCTTCCTGTCCCGACCCTGCGAGACCCCTCCCTTATTTGACTTCACTGTAGGAGATGGCGATCACAATCCACTTTGTTCCATGCTTCTGTGCCTCACATGCACAGTCCAGCTGAAGCTAATGTGACATTTGAGCAGTCTTAGACACTGAGAGTGCAACACTGTGTCAAACTATTCATTGGGCTGTGTTGCTTCTTCTGTGCTGCTGAAATTATGAAATATAATCCAGACACGGCCCGTCATGCTTCATGTCTGATCTCCTGCTACATCTACTTACTTTCTTCTCAGGGTCCTGTGTTTTTACTCAGGAGTCTTTGTTTTGAACCACCGACCACCCTGGGACCTTTGTGTTTATTTTCTCCTATGAATAGTCAGCCTGTATTTCTGCAGTGTGTTGAAGAGGAGGTCATGTGACTCAGATCTGTTGGGCAATGTTTAAATTGCTCAATATACCCCTATTATATATATTATTCATATATGTTGGTCTATTCCTTACACAGCATCTTTCATAATTTAGGAATATTTGGAGTTTTTCTGTGGGTCTCAGAACTGAGGTTGTTGAATGCTGTTCAGATTGTAGAGCACCTTAAGGCAAACCTGGGATTTTTTATATTAAGCTATATAAAGAAATGTACTTGATTTAAAAGTCCAGTTTGAGTATTAGAACCATGTGTTTTAAGGCTTTTTAAACAGCATAACATTTGTATTTTGTTTACATAGCTATAAGACACGATTTTGTTAAATGTCTGAAAATAAATATATCACAAAAATGTTCTTGAACATACAGTATTGCTTTGGCAGTCGGTTTCAGGATGGTGTCATTGTGTTAAAATATTTTTATTTTAAAAAGACTTACTTTGGTCCTCTTTATCTAACATTGAAGTCATGATAAGAGGGGATCACTGCAGGGTCAGTATGGACAGGATGAGACCGCAGTATCAGGGCTCTCGGCTAACTTCTTTCACCATCCTCCCGGAACCGTCCCGAAATACAATCTAAGCCGTCCCGAAATTAATGTGGACCGTCCCGAATTTAAAATATTAGTTTTTCTACATTATCATTAGTTAAAATCATTCAAAGTGACCTTTAACATAAATAAAACATCATACAAATCATTAGATGATAATTCATCAACCTTTTTAATTGAGTAAATCAGTCAAACACATAAACAAAGGCCAAATATATTTAAAAAAAACACACAAGCGAGAAAGTTACTCTAATATTGAATCCAATCAAGTTCTATCCAATTATCAAAAACATCCAACACTCTGTCCTGAAGACAGAAGACAGAACCCAGAGTAACCACTAACCAGGATGACAGTCTGTAACACAGTCAGGAGACCTTTACAAACTGCCCCGCCCCCTCGCACACAGACGGGGGAGAGAGCTCTCTCGTCTGGATTGGAAAGATCGAAAATAAGATCGAAAATACATCATAGACGCATTTTGTAGACTTATTGCATATTAGAAACGGAGTTGGCGAAACTAAAACTGCGATATAATGTTCATGTAGCAATAATACATGACATATATGTTTTAAATGTCTCCACTACCGATAAAAAGTCAGATAACGTCGGAGCTTAACGCTACCACTGTCTTTAATAATTCCGGCCCGGGGCCCGTTTAATACCGGGGCTCGGTACCCATCCCTACATGGGGAGAGACGCAGCATATTGCTAAGGACTAAATACGATGGAGAGTTCTCATCTCAGCCTTATTACCCATAGGGGATGAAGAGGAGTTAGTAAATAAAGAGGCCGGCGCTCCAGGGTTAGGTTCTGCTGTGCGTTTTCGTGATGTAACGTAAACAATTGCAGAATTCCTCCACGGGATGCCATTGTCATTGTACATCACTCAACGCGAAATACACACACTCAGTACATAGCTAGACCCAATAATTTGCGGGCCAGGAGTTTGCGGGCACAGCTGTGTGTGTGTGTGTGTGTGTGTGTGTGTGTGTGTGTGTGTGTGTGTGTGTGTGTGTGTGTGTGTATTTCGCGGTTTGCTAAATGTTTTGTGCGTGTGTGTTTATGTTGACAAGGAGGTTTAATAACTGTGTGCTACACAAAACGTGCAGTCAGTTTCATTTTCATCGCCGTTCGTACTGTAGTAGAGTTATCAGGGTATTTTTATTTTAACTCTCGTCCCAAATTCGTCCCAAGATTATTTTTTATCCTCCCCGACCCTATTTTTTTCGGCCCCGGGACGACGGGACGTCCTTAAACTCGAGCCCTGCAGTATGCCTCAAACTAAGTGACTGAGCATGTCTAAAGGTACAGAGTTCAGAGTGCACAACAGACAATTCCCTCCTTAAATGCAGTCATGGCCTTGTGCTTGGTTGTTTGCAAGTTGTGTGAAGATTGAAAAAAACCGAGCTTTTAATAATTGTTCTTCTCACCTGTGGTGGACGATATAGGTCATGATGGAGACCAGCAGGCAGAGCAGCATGACTGCAGTGCAGGCGTACACCACCGGGTGCAGGTAGTCCCCGGGGTACGGGGGGAAGGACAGCACCCTCTTCAAATCCTGCAGCGGGACACAGGTCAACGGACACAACAGATTAATAGGATATACAGAGAGATACACGCCCTCGCTTAATAAAAACAACAATGACTGCTTTATTGTGGCCAAAAGTTATTACCAAACAGCCCAGATGGTGTTGAGTTAAGCCTGGCACGACTTGGTCACGAGGACGGTCGTGCCTTTTACTGCCTACGTTATTCGGTGCAAGGAAATAGTTTAACAAAATACACTACTTTTTCCAATGGATGGATTTATAGTTTGATTTCAAGCGCATATTTTCTGTGTGTTAATGTCAAACTAATATCGGAATTAGCTAGCCTAGCTTAGCATAAAGACTAGAAGCAGGAGGGAAGGGGCTTGCACTTTTCTGTTCAAATAAAAAATAAATACACCTACAAACTCCTCTGAAGCTCACCGATCCACATGCTGTGTCTGGTGTGGTTATGCTGTACACATTTTAAGGTGTTTACATGTATAGGTGTTTACATGTGTACAGAATACACAATGTTTGGTTTGTGTATTCTGTGTCTGGTTAGACCTAAAACTCACAGTATCTGTTTTGTCATTTTGCTATTTGATTCCACTATTACTCAATTAAAACGGTTACTCCACTCAAAACACAATTCTTCCTCTTATCACTCTATTGGCAATGAAAGGGAGCATATATTAGGAAAGAAAACAAAGTTAAATGAAATGAACGTGTATTTTAGCCCCAGAAATTAAAAATTAAAAATTGTATAGGCCTGCATGTGTTATTGGAGGAATAGTCTGCCTATAATGTTATATAGTGAATGTCATGTGTTTCGATTAAAGTTAATAGCCATGCTGTTGTTTTGAGTTGTGACTGACTGTTTTGCTGTTGTTTAATTATGTATAAGTTTATCACCCAGGTAAAGGTGGACAGTAGAGTGCACATTCACATAGACAGTATTAACATTTGTGGGCGAAACCTTTTTCAGCGGGTATAATAACAAGTGCATCGCCCTTGTTTGTGTGCTCAAAACAAAATGTGTGTGTGTCCATCACTGTGACAATGGTATTGCAAAATCAATGTTGGTGACAATTACGGGATACCGCCCATAAAAAAACATAAAGGCCTGAAATCAAACAAGCATGATCACATCAAATCTGTCTCTAATGAACACTAAAGATGATTGATATAGAAAAACCATTTACAAACATAAATCTTTGTATCTTTACCATCCATTATACATGATATGAAAGCAGCACAAGAAGATGCATGTGGTTACTTTAACAAGCCGTTGTTTACCAAGAGAGTGTTAAAGCACCTAACTGTTTTAGCATTTCTGCTGTACATGAAGTCATGTGTTCATCAGTGAGCGTCAGAGGTGTTAGGTGTATTTTTACCAGACTGTTTCACCCTTTGTGCTAAGCTAGGCTAACATGGTCCCGATTATAGCTAGAGTTTAGCACACACACATGAATAAATAGCAGTATAGCTGATAATGCTGATGCCAACATGCTGTTATATGCAAAGTGAAGCAAAGAATGCTTGTGAAATAATCATGATTCCTTTATGCAAATGCTACCCTCCCTGCTAGCAGCCAGCTCAGTGGTGCTCTCAGAATGACTCTGGAGCCTGCAGACTTGCTGCTGGAGGTCGGGCTGAGCTGCATGTTTCCAAAGCTTTGCACAATCATTCACGCTCGTTCAGTATGAGTGCATTAATAAAGTGTCCTGACGTACCAGGATAGCAACATATACTGAGTGAATGTGACCGTAAAACCCTGCTGCATTGCAGTGTAATGTAAATGTAAGATTTTATATATTTATATTGATTTCATTATTAAAGCAAAGTCTCTCAGCTTGCCAGATTTGGGCGGGAAGTCATTGCACTCCTGCTTAATGTATCAGTAGTGTTGCCTAACTGCACTGACATCACCGTCTTAGAATAACTTGGTGCACATCATTAAACATGTAAACCATGGTGAGAGGGATTACAGTGTCTCCTGAAACATGAAATTAAATTAACAAAAGGCAAATATCAGACCTTGTTCTGGAAGCTGTATTTGTTTTTATTGGATCAGTTTTTGTATGAAAACCAAACCGCATAATGAATTAAGTTGAGACATTATAAAAGCCAGTCCTATCATTATATAGTGCTGCAACAAAGGACTACTTTCAATATTTATCACAAACAGATTATTTATTGTCCCAATCCCGAGACAATGTAATTTCTCCAATAGTTTCATTAAGTCCAATGATATGTCAAATAGAAAACCAAGAAAACACACATTGACTCTTGAAAAATGTGTTCTGGGAATGATTGGCTTTTTAGCTTTAACATGGATTGAAAGGATTTCCTATAACACTGGATAAACAGTATGTTAAGCTGCTGTCTGGCGCTGTATTCAACCTACCACGCTATAAAATAGCAATGATATATTATTGTGACCAAACTTTAAAGAGTCCTCTCCTGCTGATGTTCAGGTGTATATCAGTATGTAGTGTCTCTACTTTAAAGAGTCCTCCCCTGCTGATGTTCAGGTGTATATCAGTATGTAGTGTCTCTACTTTAAAGAGTTCTCTCCTGCTGATGTTCAGGTGTATATCAGTATGTGGTGTCTCTACTTTAAAGAGTCCTCTCCTGCTGATGTTCAGGTGTATATCAGTATGTAGTGTCTCTACTTTAAAGAGTCCTCTCCTGCTGATGTGCAGGTGTATATCAGTATGTAGTGTCTCTACTTTAAAGAGTCCTCTCCTGCTGATGTTCAGGTGTATATCAGTATGTAGTGTCTCTACTTTAAAGAGTCCTCTCCTGCTAATGTTCAGGTGTATATCAGTATGTAGTGTCTCTACTTTAAAGAGTCCTCTCCTGCTGATGTTCAGGTGTATATCAGTATGTAGTGTCTCTACTTTAAAGAGTCCTCTCCTGCTGATGTTCAGGTGTATATCAGTATGTAGTGTCTCTACTTTAAAGAGTCCTCTCCTGCTGATGTTCAGGTGTATATCAGTATGTAGTGTCTCTACTTTAAAGAGTCCTCTCCTGCTGATGTTCAGGTGTATATCAGTATGTAGTGTCTCTACTTTAAAGAGTCCTCTCCTGCTGATGTTCAGGTGTATATCAGTCTGTAGTGTCTCTACTTTAAAGAGTCCTCTCCTGCTGATGTTCAGGTGTATATCAGTATGTAGTGTCTCTCCTTTAAAGAGTCCTCTCCTGCTGATGTTCAGGTGTATATCAGTATGTAGTGTCTCTACTTTAAAGAGTCCTCTCCTGCTGATGTTCAGGTGTATATCAGTATGTAGTGTCTCTACTTTAAAGAGTCCTCTCCTGCTGATGTTCAGGTGTATATCAGTATGTAGTGTCTCTACTTTAAAGAGTCCTCTCCTGCTGATGTTCAGGTGTATATCAGTATGTAGTGTCTCTACTTTAAAGAGTCCTCTCCTGCTGATGTTCAGGTGTATATCAGTATGTAGTGTCTCTACTGTGACATGTCTCCATGCTTTAATGTTCAAAAAGCTCTTTATTGTTCTCATACTGCCTGTGCTGCAGCACCTCTTTTCACCCTCTGTCTGAAACCAGAGCCCAGTCTGCTCTGACCGCTTAGAGACGTCCCGCCCCTTAGCCTATCACGTACTGTGTTGGAGCGCTAGCCAATAGAAGCGTGAGTGTTACCTAGTGATGTCACTATGTTAGGGAAGTAAACAAAGGAGACTACCTCTAGAGGGAAAATAGGGATTTAAGCCTTTGCAAACCATATTTACATGCACTAAAACCTAAAGCCCCAAAAAGCATCAAACGTCCTCTTTAAAGTTGGGTGCTCGGTTTCCTTTACCACTCTAGCCCACTATCACTTGCAAGCAGCAATATTTTCTTCAGGGTTACTGCAACAATGTCCACCCCCTTCCTACTGTGAGTGGTGAACAAATGCCCTGAAGGGCCAACAACTGAAACTGGGCTTCTATAAATGCCAAGCAGGCATGATGATGTACAGTAGCTCATTCTGACCTGTCATAGAAATATAACGGAAACACTACTGTGTGTGTGAAACATCTCTTTAATCCCAGCGAGTGCAGCTTACAAACTGTTTATGATGGAGACTCTTCCGTATGTCCGTGACCTTCCCATCCACCAATGAAAATCATCCAACTGTCTATTTGCAGTACAGTGTTTGCATATCACGTCACCTTTGACACCTTTCTTCCATCAACAGTTTGTATGGGGACACATGATGTGTGATCAACTGCAGAGACTCAGAATAAAGATACACTATGTTCCTGGTTTACTTTGCAACATTTTAATTTATATATAATCCTATGCCAATATGTGTCTGTAGTATATTTCTATATATTTCTGTAGCTTGGTGAGATTGTATATTGTAAAGTAGTCAATTTCTTCAATATTTTTATATTGTGTATTATTTAAATACTCTAGTGATATAATGTATGTCCTTTCTATTGTGCATTTTTATTTTTATTTATACTTGCTAATGTTAATTTTTTTGTATTTATTATATTTGTATCTTACTGTATCTTTTAAATATGTTTTACTTTTGTAATGCTTGACAACACTGCTGCTGTGACAAAATAATAAAACAGAATTTAACCAATCTTTTCAATTGAAAACTTGTATTGTAACTGTGCTTGGTTACAGGCATAGTGACATGAACACAAAGCCACTGTCCCAAGCAAAAGTTTTCAACTGTGCTACAAATGTGGTGAAATCTTTGGTTGTCAATTTATATTGGGGGGACATAACATGAGGCTGATATTAATTTACAAATGTCTCTCTCTATGTACACTTTATGTCAAAAGAAACATTAAAGGGGACCTATCATGCAAAATGCACTTTTGTACGTCTTTTATACATGAATATGTGTCCCCGGTGTGTCAGGGAACTCACCAAGTGTCAGAAAACACAACCCTCTCTATTTTCCTCCATACCCAAATCTCTAAAAAAAGGGGCTGCAACGGATCTGATACAGACTGATCCAGATTTGAACACTTCTATGACGTCACAGAAGTGGCACTACGGCTATTGG